AAATATTCATTTGCTTATTTTTTCGCATTTATTTTTACATATTTCTTTTTACATTCCAGTAATTTTTTTTTATTAAATTTCTTCATCTCAATAATAAACAAATTCTCCTTTGGAAAGTGTATGAAATCCATAAACAGTCGTTTATTTCGATTAAAGTTAATGGATAAATGCATGTAAAGATTTAAATTGACTATCTATAACTGAATTTTGTTGGAAATATAGACGAATTATACAAATTATAAGAATGTCGAAATTTTTGAATTTTTCTGAATAATTTTATGGACAGTGAAGTCCCAAAAAAGATATTTTTAACGGACAATTTAACGGACAACGGATAATTTAACGGATTCCTTTGTAGTCATTCTCAAATCCTTTCTTATTTGGCTACCTTTTTGTTGTCTTCATATGCTTCATAGTATTCATTCGTTTTGTAATTTTTCCATTTTATATTCATTCATTAATGAACTTAATAAGAAAGATTGAATTTTCTGGGATTTCCAATATTCATTTTTTTTATTTGATTCTATTCTCTGTTTTTTAAAATATTTTTATTTATTTAAGATTATTTTAATTCATTTCATGCAAGTAGTATAGCCTATTTCTATTTCATTGATATTTGGTTAAAAAAATGGCTTTTCATTTATCGTCTCTCTCCAATCTCGAATTTCCATTTAACGTCTGGATGATCCTCGAATTTTTCTAAACCATTAAAAGCATAATTGTTTCTATAGGAGAGTTGCCCTGCATTATTTCTATATTCATTCTAATGAAATATCGTTAGTATTAGTAGTAAAATTAGTGAATGATTTTTTAATCTCGCACTTTGAGTCATATTAAACACGAAATAAATGTGAATAAAAATGGATTTGAGAAGAATGGAAATATTCACATAAAAGGTTAATATAAAGAATCATGCAGAGTTTATAGAATATCGGATATTTTCATGGGAAATTATTAATATAAACGACTTCTTTCTATTTTCTTAATGTTAAGAATTATATCAATCGAGATCAACTTTTCCTTTTGTCTTCCTTTTTTACCTTCGTTAATATTTTTCAGCTTAATTTGGATGAGAATTTTACTAAGCGGTAGCAATTTTTATTTTATGCTTCATTTTTTAGTTAATGGCCTTTGACATTCAGTTAACTATTTTATTTTTAAATGCATTGAAAAAATTAAGAATTTAAAGAGCAAAAAATTTTAAAGTTAAAGGGAAAGAAAATGTAGAAATTCAAAAAATCGTCAAAAATATTTTATGGTATTATTTAAAGTGGGTATTTTCTCATCATTTTTTTTCCTCATATCGAAATCAAAATACGTGAAGACAATTATTTAAATAAATAAATTTAATTCGAATACCACCATTTTTGGTTTAATTTGGTTCCATTTTCAATTAAGTTCAGATCTATTTGCATAAGAATCATTTGAAAATAGAAGGCATCAGCTGATTTTTTTTAATGGCAGGCTTGCTACTATCTAGGTTTAAGAGTTGTACATTGATCTGACTTGAAGCAAGTACCATTAGAAGCCACCCTACTCTTAATCTATGTCGTTTTGCATCAAATAAATTGGCAAAATTGGCTAATTTGCAAAAATTCCAGAGGGAAATGAAACGAAAATTCGCTAATTTTTTTAAAATGCTTTCTAAATCAGCTTTAAAAAACACATTTCTCCTAAAATAATTTCAATCTTCATTATTGATAAAAGCATTTATTTAAAAGGACTTTGGATTATTAAAAAAAAAAGAAACAATAAGAGGAAAAAGAGATATTTAAAGAAGAATAATGTGGATTCGATTTTTGAAATAGTTAAGATATAGATATAATAGTTAAAATATAAAACTGTGTTCTCTTCGAGATTTATAGTCCATGAAATTTTCCATCAATTAAAATCCAATATTTGAATCCAATATAAGAAAACATTAATTTTGAGCAATCAAAAAAATGTTTCTTGGAAAATTTTTTAGAAAATATTTTAGGTAAGTTGAAAAATACTCGAAAATGCTTTTTTTCTTCTATTAGCGTTACATTTCTGGTTTGGCTAACTGGCTATTATGAAACTGAAATGAGATTCCTTCATCATATAATCGGTTTGAGGTGGTTCTATGTGGCTGCTCAGTTCTCTTTGGATTTCATGATTCCACTTCCAGTGATAGCTTTATCCCCGTTCATAGGGTACGAATCGAACGTAAGAAATTTAAATAAGCAAATATGAAATTTAAATAAGCAAATATGAAATATCGCATAAGATCATGGTTTAGCTTAGTAGCTTAATATTCAAAGCAAATTTTAATGATAACTTTCCACTGACAATCGAAATAAAATGGAAATATTCTTATCAGCTTTGATTAATATTACGTTTCGATTTCTCGTTGTTAATTTTGGCATAAGGTTAATGGTATTGGTACTGCAATGTTCAGACATAAGCCACTGGTGAGAATGCGAATGGTTAATTTATAAATTAATCCAGCGAAAACTTGGATTAGAAAATTTTAAAAATTCTATTCACCTTTGTCACTGAAGCTTTTCTCACATAGAATTCATCTAATTTATCTAATATAAGTATAAGCTATATTTGCAATCTTTAAATCTTAAAAGCCTAAGAAAGGTCAATCGCAATCGTCTCTTTCGATTAGGATGAAATTAGTTTTTTCATTAGCATGAAAAGAGATTTCAATTTTTTCCTTTAAATATTAAGCAAAATCTATTATAAATATTGAGAATAAATATTGCGGAAAATTTTCTCCTTCTCCTTTTTGTGGATTAGTTTATAATATCGACATTGACGTTTTTCCTTAAAAATTATAAAATTGGATGAAAAAGTCCAAAAAATAGATAAATAGGAATTCATATCGATTCACAGCTTGAATTATTAAAAAGTTTATTGTCTATGGGGAAAATTTTTAGTATTGATGATTTTATTGGGACCGAATTTTTAAAAATATTTTGGAAATTTTACTTAAATATGCATAAAATTTTCTAAATCCTATAGTTGAAGTATATTTTCGAAAATTTTTGAAAAAAATTTTTTGAAAACGAGATGGAGTTATTTCTTGTTTTCTTGTTTAAAAACAGAAAGTGCTTAGTTGAAGTGTTCGCCAACAGAATTTTATGTTTATAGCCACCAATAGAGCAAGAAATAATCGCAGCCATTCACCTTTGGGGTTTAAGACCAGTAAAGCTCTCCAAGACGACGGTCTTCCTGTTGTGCCTTTCACACCTTCAATGGATATATTCTTTACTATTAAAAAAAGAAAAAAGATGGCTGAACCAAGTAATCCTATTTGCAATCCTCAAGAGATTGATAATCCATGTGTGACAATTATCGACGAATAGGTTAAAATCTCTAAGAAAAAAAAACAAGTCTAGTTCTGCTGAATTTAAGCAAAGCAAGACAGTAGGATACGCCTTAACCAACCTGGATTCAAATCGGTATCCCGGTGACCGGCGTGGATGACCTGATCAATCTTTTCCTCTATTCGTTAAGCAGGATTTTGGAAAATCGTTTCAAGCATCGGTAATCCACTTTATTGATTTTTCCGCACTTTTGATTCAGTCATTCAGTCACTTCAGTGATCAAAGAGGGCGATGTTCCAGATTCGACTCAAAACACTTTATCAGTATTTCGTCACAATCTTATTTTGTAAGAAATCCGTCAGGATTGCATTCTTTCACTCAGTTCAATTGTGCGATAGAATGGATTATGTTTCGCTTGTCTGCATTCAAGAGGTGTACAAGTTAGTCCAGAGCATAGCACCACTAATTTTGAATAACCCCTTTTTGCCCTAAGTGTTAAGAAGAAATGCTAGAAGCAGTACAAAGCAGCAAAATTGATCGACGTGAATTAGACAAAAAAAGTTTAAATACCACAAGTACCTGATATTTCAATATTTTAATATATACCAAATATTTTTTAATTATTTAACCTATTTTTATTAACTTATCACCTAAAATGTTTATATTTTATTGAAAAATCGAATTGAGGAATCGAATTATAGATTTTAGATATCTTGGATCGACTCTCATACTAAACAGCCAAACAATATTTTTAGAATAGTATGAAAGTAGAATAGTATAGTATAATAATATAGTCTGGTAAAACTTCTATGGAAACACCTCTAAATTATAACCAAAACGAATGTTCGCATTCACTTACTTGCATTACAAATCTCATCTCATTATATAACTGCAAGGCATGACCAGTGAGGGTTGAAGATATTAAGAAGCTATCTGCTTTTGAAAATTCCTATCTAAGAAATAAGCTTGTCGAGCAGATTAAATCTTACATGATTGCATCGACCTTTGCTGAAATGCCATCTCCATGAAATATCGTGAAGCCATCTTCTTCCACTGATCATATATCTAGCTACCTGATAAATCCTATGATGGACTGCATCAAAAGCGAAGAAGATTAAAAAGACCTGGACAATTAAGAGATATTTTGAATATATAAGTGACCGAACAATATGTAGATTAGATTTAGATTTAGAGAATGGAGAAAAAGTGGTTTCTCCCAGATGCCCCATTGGATCTACTGGCTTAAAAATACTTTATCATTGTAGCTCAGTAGGTCCAACTTAATCAGTGATGCTAAGCCTTATTAAAGAAACCTAAGCAAGTTATTCTTATTATTATTCGTATTTTTATGGGTATTATTATTATAGTAGCAATAGTAACAACAGCAACAATAATAATAATAAAACAAGTTGCTTCCTACTCCTATTGAGTCATATTTGTTGTTCTGGATTTACTTATAAGGATTCCAAAGAGATATTAATAAAATACATAACTTCATACCGCTTAAGCTGCAAATTTGTTAAGAATTCCACTTTAGTGGCTCACAGTATCATCCTGTATAATAAATCTTGACAATATTCTACTTAATAGCCTATCATTTCGTATTTGCTATTTCTTCTGTGAAATTTTTAACTGATATTATTTCGGTTTCTGGTAATATTACTTTGTTTAATAATATGATTGAATCAAAATGATAAAGATTAAATGCCATTGATTTTTCCAGATAATCTAAGTTTAACTTCTTATAAAAATTTAATACAAAAACTGTTAGAAATTAGAGATTTTCAAGGAACATGCGCCGATCAGTCAGTTCTTTGCGAACAGTTATGTATTGCAACAGCCACATTTACTTACGAATGTGCATGTTGGGATAATCATGTGTTAATAGAAGATGGTATCAGCTGCATAGGTTAGTTTTTACTTATATTGATATTCACCACTGTTTACTTTTTTCAAAGTGAATTCTGCTTGGAACAAAAATCTAAAGAATTTTCAAATTATACTGGAATAACTGGCAAATCATTCTATAGGCATTATGATTAATAGCCTTGAGAACTGAGTTTTCCACAAATATGATAGGTCTTAGGGATAAGAAAGGGATAAGATTTCATACTGCAGGCCGAGGTTTCGTAGGCATTATTATGGGCTTGTGGAGAATATTATCGTAATGAAATGCACGCTGCGAGGTTTGGCAGTACACTAGGTAAGGGGAATCAAGAGATGTTATGTTTTTTTTAGCGGAAAGCTTTTTTTTTTAACTGAAGAGATTATGGACTAAGAGATTATTGATAGTTGAAGCATCACATTTCTTAGTGTGAATGTCTAGTCACCACAATTTCTCCGGTCTGAATCCAGCTTGGCGTATCTTGGTGAATCGTACTGCCATAAGTTTATTAAGCCGGAACAGAGCGGATATTTTCCCAATATAGTAGGCTGATTCCTCGATAATTGTCACCTGCACCTTTCTTGAAAATTGGGAGCAACTCTAGTCATCTGGTAATATTTCTTTATTTATTTAATATTCCTTAGTAGGAAGTACATTTGTTGAAGGTGGTGCCTTATGAAGGACGATGATAATGTTTGAAGAGTTAAACCTGAAGGCCATTTTCTCCCGGAGTCTTATTGGTCTTAAGCTTGTGGATAACGGAGATTATTTCCTGCTCTATTGGCAGTTTATAGTTGCAAATGTATGGTTCGACGAGTGAATCAGTTATTTCCGGAGTAACAAATGGGATATCGTGGTTAAATTTGATGTCAAAGAATTCCTTCCACCTTATGAGAGGATACTTAATACTCTTAACGAGCACACCATTGCTATCCCGTACCATTTTACTGATCGTTTCTCAAGTTGCTTTGCAGTTATTTCGTGAAGAAGATGGAATAATTTCCTGTTATCGCCTAATCGAGAATAGCGACTTCTACCCCGCTGTGTTGGTATCTTTATAATTTTTCAATGCATCCGATAGTCAAGATTTCCTGACATTTGTGCTTTGGCAGCCTTTTCAGACAAATAGATAATTGCTCTTCCGATACTCAACTAGCGCATTTCCTACTAGTATATTCTTGTGTGGAAATAGCTGACTTTCGGAGAGATTCCTTTAGTTAGGACCAGTATTCATCTGCCGTTCCAGAGATGTTACTTCACTGTGGTGCTTCAATAATTCGGTTTGAAATGCACTTACTGTCCTTGAATTTTATAGTTTGAGGCAGTTGAAAGATCTTAGAAGATATGTAATTGTATAGTTTAAGGTAATAATGCTAACTGGCGTATGGCAAAAATTCTTTTTAAATGTTATTTCACTGAATTTTATTTCACACTATTTACTAATTCAAATTTTTTTAAGCTTATAAATTTATTTTTTTGCAAATATTAAGAAATTAGAAATTTATCATGTAGATGATGGCGAAAATTAATTTGATTCGTCTTGAGCGAGTTAATTGGCTGCTTAAACGAAACCGGAATTGCTTTCAGTTGGATAAATTTGACCTATAATTCAATAAGTTTGAAATCGATAAATTTAACTTTTTGATAATAGCACTAACCAATTTAGAAATCGAATAGATTAACCGACTTGCTTTTTATCGAAGCCATCCACTAAATTATCTAAGAATGCTGCCTACTACTTGCTATTTTTGCTTTTATTCAATATGATTAACGAAGAATAAATTTGGAACAAAGAATGAAAAAAATATATAAAATAATGCGGTAAATATTATTAAAAAGCTCATCAAAAATCGAGATAAAAAATTTTTATATGAAAACAATTGTTTCAAAAGTTTAAAACTAAAGAAAGAATATATGAAAGGATATATAAATAAATTTGCAGTAAATACATCGAATGCTGAATTTCATTTCATGGATGATATGAAATTTCGAGGAAATCCACAAGAAAGCCGCGAAAAAATACCGATTAATAAATCCACGGAAATAAGGATGAAGAGCGGTATTCCGAAAGTAGGTTTGTTACCTGGGGACATCGAAAAAGTAAAAAGTTCTAAAAATCGAGCATTACGATTCGATGGAAATTCGTTCGTTCAATTTCCTACAGTTGAAAGTGCTTATTTGGAAACAAACATCACCATTGTATTCAAGTTCGTCGCTTTGATATTTTACCTGCTATAGGGTACAAGTACGAGTTTTGAAAAGCTTTCTGCGATTTGTCGATTTAATCAACTTTTGATATTAAGGAGAAATATATTTTCTTTTAAATTAGAAAATGTTAGGCCTTCCAACACATAAAATCGTATTCTTATCAGAAATCCAAAATGCCAGGAAAGAGAATAAATTTGCTATATAATCGCTAATCACCATCACTTTTTTCTTGAAACTACACGAATTCCTTTTTCGTAAACCTTGTGTCTTTAGGTTTGAAACATTTTTTAGGGCTTTTTTTCTGTATTTTGTCAAGTGAATGAATTTTTTCTATTAAAATGTATTGTTTGAGATGGAAATAAGAGAGGATAATCTCAGGATTATAAAGTGGATGTGGTGGAATTCGTCTGCGTATTTCTTAGAGAGATATTTTTTGGAGAATTCGCTCTTGTCATATTATCATGTTGCAATATTATAATCTTTCTATTATAATAAATTTATTTTAATGAAATTTATTTTTGAAGGATAGTGAGTTGGTCGCATTAAATTTCATAAATAACAGTTGACCGGGTTCTAACAGCTCACATCGAACTATTCTCTTTATTTCTGCTATAAATGACATGATTTTCTGCCATAAATGTCATGATTTTGTGGTTATTTCATTGATAACTGTTGGTATTTGCGACTAAGATTATTATAAAGAACACATTTTTGATCGCTAATTCAGTCCAAAAACGGTTCATTAGATCTTCAGCATGCAATGTTGCAAATATTGCAAATGTTTTTCGGATGGTAGTACTTCACATTCTATTTACTGAACTATGAGATGAAATCCGCGAAACTTTGCTATAGGAAGTACCATTTGTGAATATACTAGTGAAACCGAGAAAACCAAGAAATTGTTTTGTTCTTTCACATTTACTTGCAATTCCATTGAGCAGCATCAATAAAATTGATACTAGTATTCCATTTTCTTGCAGGTTCAATGTAGAAAGCGATGGCGTAATCCTTTATGCCGGACAAAATGATGGATTGGATTTCATTTCGCTTGCATTCGTTGGCCAAGATGTCATTTTAAGGTATGGTTTGCACATTAAATTTGCAAGAATTCAACAAATTCTCAAAAAAAATTATTAGAAATAAGCAGCTTTAAGCTTTAGCTCAATATTTTAGCCTAGATCAAATCATTTCTTTTCTATATTCCTTCTATAGATTTAACTGTGGCGAAGGAACAGTTGATGATCTATATAGCGTTTCATTCGAAGTAGACCAATGGCATACTCTCGTTGTACGAAGAAAATTTTGTTCAAAAAGTGAAGTAAAAGTTGACAAAAAAAGTACAATGGTAGATGAAATACGCGAATTTACTGTAAGTCAACGAACTTTTGATTATAGTCTTAATGTATAGTCTTGGAATTGTAATTTTCATATTTTAATATATATCTTTGCAGAATTTCAAAGGCATTACAATCGATGATGGAATATTTGTTGGCGGAATTCCGTTATCGATGCCACATTTTTCTGAACGAGTAACAATAACTAAAGGTTTTGCCGGATGTATTCGAAGAATTCTCATTAATAATGAAACTCTTTTTGACGCCGATAAGAATATTAATTTAGCAAAAGGAAAAACTGGTATTCATTTGCATTTTAGGTTTTGTTCGATTATCATTATTTTCTTTTAACTATTTTAGTAAGTGTTTTTGAAGAAATTATACACATTTAAAACTTCTTTATATTCCAAAAAATCGTATTTAGAGGCCACAAGAATAAGGATTCGTTAAAAAGATTGAGGTAATCATATTCGGTTGCATTAGAGTAGAATGGTCATGCGGTATTGTGCTGCTTGGCCTAAATTAGAGAATATGTTAGACAGAACTCCTGTCTTTCGACGTAATTAAACCTGTCATTAAAAATTCGGTAGATGCTGGGTGCAATATTCACAAATGAACCTTTTCCCATTCTAATTACCAGGATATTTACCAATCAAACCAGAAATGATAGTGAAGTGATTACTATAAGAAGGAGAACTATGGATGCTGGATTACGAGAAAATTTTATTTCAGAATATTGTGAAGAAAATATCACTAATTCTGCTGCCAGTTTATCTAATGAAGGTTTGTCTTTTTATCATTAAAGACATAACCAATTACATTCGATATACGCTACTCAATTTATTAAATTACTGGCATTAACGAGATTTTTTCACCTTCAGAGTCAACAAATTCATCGCCGATCTAATATATATAAAAATGAAAATCTCTCGGTATCTGAAGCCATTTTAAAGCCATTAAGCACTTTTTTATTGAAAGGAAAAGGCGAGAATTTAAAAAAAAAATTTCGATTTCTCCTCAGTAGTCACGCAGAATCCTAGATTTTCGATTTATGTTTTAAAAAAGGCAGTTAAATTTTCATAGCGAATTCCTATTATTATATTACGAATAAATGCAGAAAATTTCGTCAGAGTCAGCGCAATTGGTTACCGATCAATGGCATTTAGGAAAATGAATTATTTTTTCGATAATTTGTGAATAAACTTTAAATTGCGATGGGAAAAAATAGTGTTTTATAAAATTTCGTTAGGAAAATGTTTTTTAAAAAACTGAAATAGTCATTTGCATATCATTTTCGACTTGAATGAAAACTTATAGTTTGAAATAATTCAATCTAAATTTATTTCCTAGTTGGCATTTTTTCAAGTCAAAAAATCATAGAATATTAAAATTCCATTTTAATAAAAGCATTTAGATTAGATGCACATTCGTAACATTTGACCTCACCATTTCTGGTTTGGCTGATTTCGCAGACCTACTAGCGTCATTCATTAAAAAATCAGAAAATAAGAAAATAAATGGTTACCGTTCTTCATTCTTGTTCGTACAATGGTTTTATGATATTAGTTGACGCAGTGGAAATGAAATTTTTTTCCACGGAATCATTTGACGAAGTACAAATAGTGGGTCATCAGCATTAGCCGCATTTTTTAATAAATCATGCCGGAAATAAATTCTGAATTCCCAACACTAATAATATTGAGCGACAACTAGTTCTATTCTGCCGCCAAGAGAGGCACTAGAAGACTAAATGGGTCTCAAAAGCTAAACATCCGTAGTTGTTGGTTGCATTAATAGGGTAAAAACTTCTTCTTCTAGCAGTTTTTTAGCAGGCCCCAGAATCTGATGCCAAACAGTAATCGAAGCCATTCTTTGACCGTGCCGCTTGAAAACGTCTTACCCTTGTAGCCGTTGGAGCCAGCCTAACTAGTAATGGTGAGAACTTTTAGAAGAAGAAATATCAGTATATCAGTATAGATCTTGATCGGTCCACCTCGCTTTTGACGCCATCCATCATAGTAACAGTTGTTTAGCAAGTAACGAAATATGTGTCAACTCTTGCGGTGGACGACGAAGAACGTATCCTAACCAGCGAAGGCGATGCTATGTGGTAACATTATTAATGCAAGCGGTATTTGAACGAAAGTGGATACGATCGTGTGATATTTTATTTGCTCGACGGACCCGTAAAATGTACCTTAGATAATAATCGTCAAAGGTACACAACTTCTTGATATTCTCCACTCTCATTGGCCATGTGTTAGAGCCATATAGCAAGTTCGAATGAATCACGGCAATATAGATGCGGACTTTTGTTTTTATGGTGATTTCATGATGGCTCCATAAGATTTCGTCAACCAAAAGAACGAACTTCTAGCTGCCGTGATCTGGGATATAATATCATATTTTGCCTGGCCATTTGGTATTAAATGATTGCCGACAAGCGGTGTCCATTACACTCTATCGCATAGTTGAATATTGTGGGGGAAAGGAAGCAACCCTGATGGACATGTTTTTATTTCGAAGGAATCTATCAGCTCTCCATATACAAAGACCTGCGCTGACGTGCGCTCATAAAATGCCTTTATGAGTATAATTTTCTCTGGAACTGTCACGTTCCATCATTCTACAAAGCGCCGCTCTATCAATTGAATCAAAAGAGTTCAGCCCGAAGGCCATTTTCTCCCGCAGTCTTATTGGTCTTAAGCTTATTTATCGATAATTCGATGGCAACTTCATTATTCTCAAGAAAATGAATTTTCGACGGATTTAAGCAATAAAATTTCCATTAATTAGTTTTCATATCTATTATATATTTTGCATACAATATTCAATTCAAAGAAAATAAATTAATGCATAGAATAAAGCTTTTAAGTTGAAAAAATATCAGAGAAATTCGAGCAGTCATTTTCAAATTAATTATTTCTAAAAAATAACATTTAAAATTATTTCTGAATAACAATGAATGAGGAAAATCAAGTTTATTCTCAGGTTTATTTATTCTGCAGTTTATGCTATCGTAAAAAAATTTATAATAAATGTATATAAACTTCGCCTCAAGTCTTATTTGCCTTACTCACAAGGCATTTATGGAAAGGAAGATTCCCTTAATTCTTCTAGCATTATTTATTTAAGACTGACATCCTGTCGTCTTTGAAATGAAATATTTCATCCACTGAATTTAGCTTACAATGCTAACGAATTTTTTTAAAATATATATTTTGATGAATGATGTTCTGAAACTCGGAGTTTTCTAAAAGAATAAGAATAATCTGGACAACATAGCCGAGCGATATACTGCTTAAATTAATAAGCCTTTATCCCACGTAAAAGAATGATTGCCATAAAAAGACCAGATAGTGCCGAAGATCCTTAATAACCAGTAGAGCCAGCCAGAAATGGTGAGAAATGCTAACCACTAATCAGTATGTATTTGTCCACAAAATTCCAAAAGCCTAAGCTTGAAGGGATTATTTGCCTTAAATATTTCGATAAAATTGATTTCAGTGTCATAACTTGAATTTCAAACAAAATGTTAACGAAATTTATTCAAAATAAGCATCCACATACAATAGAACTTGAGAAAATTCTCTAAAAGGATTTTTTCAGTATTACGAATAAATGTTAATCAACAAATAAAATTGCCTTTTGTGAAGATTCCTGAATTCAGTCAAAATTCCTCAATAAAATTGTTGGCACCAAATGATATCGAATTATACTCTGAGCTCAAATTTCATTTAAAAATTGACGAACCTAATGGTCTTATCTACTTCTGTGGCTCGAAAACACATTATTTGGCTATCTACGTGAAGGATATGTTCCTGAATGTACAGTTCTCGCGAGGGGCTGATTATTTCATTCAACGGTTTTTTATCCTTTTTGGCAATGTATATTTCTCCATTTTTATCCATAATCTTCGGTGATTTGAAAATGTTCATATTTTTCAGATCGGAGCATAAATTATCATCTAACTCTTGGCACCTTGTTGAACTTTGGCGTAGTGGGTTATCGGCTTTACTCAAGGTATAAACGTATAAACTTTTGAAATCGGTAACTTCATCTGAAATTTATTGTTCTAAAAACCTCTAAAAATTCATGATTCTGATTGGAATAAAAGATTTTCTCGTATTTTTTTTGTTCCATGGATCTCTTTGGCAGCCTGGTGACCGCTATCGCTTTTTTCTTCTTCTAAATGATATTTTTAAATACATGGGATATAAATGTAATATATAAGTATACTGGGAGATACAGTGGGAAAATTATTGATGGCTTTCATTGTGTCTTGACATTATTTATGTTAAAAATTTCAAGGGTACTGAAGGTAATTTTATGAATTTTTTTCCAATCTGATATTCATCGGATATCTGAAATCTTATCGCGTTTATTTTTGCTCTGGAAGTTGTACTAGTTATTAAAACATTAAAATAAAATTTCATTAGTGAATAGAAATTCAGGTGGGTCCTTAAACAACTTGAAATCTTTCTATTGAACTCCATGGAACCCAGAAGCTGATATGCCACTTTTTGTAAACTCATTGGCGGTTGAGGAAGCGCCCGAATTTAAATAGCTTGGATCCACTCTAATAAGAAATGGCCAGGCAAAAGACGAAATTACAACTCAGATAACCGCAACTAGAATTGAGCTCTTTCCGAAACCTTTATGGAACCGTCGCGAAATTAGCATAAAAACCAAAGTCCTCTATATAGCCATGATTCATTCAATCTTGCTATATTGCTTTGAGACAAGGCCAATGAAAGTGGAGGATATTATGAAGTTATGTTCCTTTGACCACTCAAGTCAACGGTACATTTTACGGGTTCACAGAGTGGATGCCATCTGCATTAGCATATCCATCATAGAGCATTGCCTTCGCTGATTAGAGCACGTTCTTCACCGTTCACATGAGTTAATATTATTTGCTGAACTCTGTGATGGTTAGCGACAAAAACGAGGGCCAAACAAGATCTGGACTGATGCAGTCAGAAGAGATTTTGAACGTATAGAGGAACCTGTGATATATGGACTTAGACGGTGGAAAAAGGAATGGTTTCCATTATTGCTAGCGATGGCGGCAGGATTGGAGGCGTCTTACTCTTGTAGCCAGTGGAGCCAGCCTAACCAGTGATAGTGAGAGCTGTTAGAAGAAGAATAGGACCCAGACCCAGTATAAAAATTTCTGTCATAAATCCTAGTGATTTTCTAAAAAAATTTTATTCCAATGATTCACTGTAAGTTGAAAATAAATTGAAAAAAGAAGTAGCTTTTAGATTGAAGGACAACTGTGGGTGGAAAATCAGGTTAAGAATGGCATTTCTAGCAAAACGAAAACTAAATATATGTATTTTGGTAGTGTACCTTCGGATCTGTTACCATTCAACATCGATCAACAAGGATTTTCTGGATGCCTCAAAAAAGTTAGATAAAAATTGAATTAAAAAATTGATGCTCCATGCAAAGGTTTTATTTGTTTAATCATCGGTTCCCAAAAGTTTTGGGATAATTTCTTCGAAAAAATAGAAACATTTAAACATTTAAAATATTTTAAAAAAAGTCTAAATTGGATCAAAGCCTGCAGTCGAACCAAAGAAATAAGTTAATTTCGAATATATTCGAGAGATCATCGTTTTATTTGCTTTTTGAACCAACTAAAGCCTATTAATTTACATTAGTATAAGAATAATATAGTATAAGAATAAAGAATAAAAATGGAAACCTGTAATAATATCCTCAAACAATTTTAAAAGATTAGTTCATAATTCAACAATTGGAAATTCAGTTACAGAGGTGACTCGGTGGATTGTTACTCGCATTTTGGAGCACCGATTTCACTCTCAGCAGAGTAAACCTGCTTTCAAAAATGCGGGTGACATTGGAAAACCACCTATTTTCCTATCGTTAAGTGATTCTCTGGCAAAAATCATCTGCTCCAACAAGTTAGCAGTCGAGCTTAACCAGAATTGATGATAAAAAAAAGTTTTATGCATTATATGCACCTAAAAACGTTACAGGTTCACCAAAATGGTAAAAAAATTCATTTTTTTGAAGAAGCTGAAGATATGATGAACATTAATGAATGCGGGTGGAAGCCATGCGCTGATGCAAAATGTCAGGCCAAAGCCACATGTCTGAATAGGCATACTTCTCCGGTATGCTTATGTCCTTTCCCATCATTCGGTGATTACTGCGAAAATGGTTTGTCCTATATTTTCTAAATCTCTAAAATTCTCTGAAATTTTCTAAATCTTCGAATGCTTTTTTAAAATCTAATGAAGCATTAAAATACATTTTGAAGAATAGATTCTTTACAGAACATCAGAATTCAATTTCACAAATGCGCTTTTCTAAATTTTCGCATTTGCATTTCAGTGATTTCGAAATTATGAGAAGGTAAGAATCCTTTTCTCAAAAAAACACTGATGTGCTTTATAAACTCCTCACAGTGTTAAATTGAACTCTTTATTAAAAGTTTCTTTTCCTCAAGAAACATTCTGGCACGCCTCACTAGATTTACCAAGGAATTATAGATTTCCTGACCTAGCATTCTTACCATTCCGAGCCTTAAAATTTAAACTAAACCAGCTACTGGATGGCGAAAATACTGGCAAAAAATTCTGTTTCACTCTATAAGAATGCTTCAGCTTCGGCTTGCTTTTTCTATTCCTTTCCTTTTTGCATTTACCGCTCGAAAATTTAATTTATTATCAAAATTGTTTTAGAATAACAGGTGAATATTTGAATTTAAGTGTCACAGTCAAACCAAATGATTACATTTCGAAAACTCAGAATCAGGTAAGCACCAAATATCCTTTCAAACGCTTAATTTTCATTAATTTCCGTTAAATTAATAAAATATGCTAATTATCAGATCATTGCTAGTGCAGCAAATAACGACAATCTTGGAGATTACTTTCATTTGATGTTAACTGAAATGAATGAAGTTTTATTCACAATTGACCTTGGTTCTGGGGCTTTATCATTAACGCATCCAATTCCACTCGATAACAAGTCATGGCATAATATTACGGTTTACAGGTTAATTATTTATAATTAGCTGGTTAGCAATTAACATTCAATGGCTACATTACAATTCCGATACTTCCATTAGTAATTTGTAAGCAGAATTAAAGAGAGAGGAAAACATGAGTCTCCATCACCAATGGAATTTTTCAATAACAACTTTATTCTTATGGATGGTCAGAATGATGGACTGAAGTAACCGCTCGCTTATTTTCTCCACAGTTTACATGAAGTTTTTATGATCAGTAATGTTTGGAGATGCTTGGAGAAATTCGCAATAAAAATCAAAATTATTCAACAGCTTTGCGATTTGTTAAATTATACTACAAAGTGGTAAAAAAAAAAGACATGTTGCGAACACCGAGATTTACAAACCAAATAGAACTGGAATACCTCTTGATATGCCAAATAAATTGCAGAAAGAGAAGAAATGTCTATTTAACAGTTAATACAACTACGATAACATCCGCCGTGCAAGGATCATCAATAGAACTTAATGTTTACGACTCTCTGTTCATTGGTAATTCTTTAAATTTTTTATATCTTTAGTCCAGTAAATAAATATACAAATATTCAAGATCAAAACCTCAGTTATTCTCAATAAATACAACGACTGAGCTTTCCAGGCGGAAAAAACATAGAGGATGAAAATATGTCCGGCTTTAACGGTTGTATACGAGATATCATGATTAATTCGGAACGAATAGATTTTTCTCGAAATTCAACAAAAGCAATAAACATATCGGAATGTTTACCATAATTGTACTTATATATACTATGCTAAATTCTCATTTTAATGTATTTTTTCCGAAACTTTTCCTACCCTCTAATTCGACAAAAAAATGGGAAAAATATAAATCATCACATCGAAAAATATCAAAAAATAAGAATTTTACGAATAATCAATTTTGCAACAAGCGTTATAATGTTCTTAAAACAACGTCTTTCCTCTGAAAAAATAACATATATTTCCAATAAAATTTTCAGCTAACCAGTAAAGTTACGGGCAAAAGATTCAATCGTTTTCATATATCGTAAAATTACGTGGTTATAAAATCACATCTAAAATTTCAACATAAAAGAGAGTACTTGTTAGATCAACAGCTTTTCCACATCTTCTTTAATCTTAGCAATCTGACTTTTAAGTTGAGATCCTTCATTCTGAGTTATTGAAGCAGCAATAACTGGCCTCGTAACGCCACAAGCTCTACCAAGAGCTGCCTGCAAAAACTGATAAATAATGATAATTCATGGTTTCGTCATATTTTACAATGCAAATAGTAAATGGAAAAAAACAAAATTGAGAAAAAATGAAAAGATAAGAAAATTTGCCTTGCTACGGACGAATACGTACGGAACATTTTTATCTTCGCAAAGCAAAGGAAGATGAAGAATAATTTCCAACGGTTCCGTATCAGCAGCCATAATAATCAACTTAAATATTAAAAGACAATATCATCAAAATTTTAAGCGAAATTAGGAAAAAATAAAATTAGACAAAAATCGCGCAAATGACATTTTCTAACTTATCTGCAACTAAATTAAAATTAACTAAATTAAAATAAAAAAAATTTCCAAAATATTGATAGAAAATTTAAAATATTTGTCTTAAATTTTCCTTTTTTGCGTTCTATATAGACTGTAATGATGAAAATATTTTAAAAAATGAAAAATAAATATAAATGAAATACCTCAGATAGTCCACGATTTAATGTTTTTGTCGCTTCATTGGCTCCTTTCCTCAACTGTTTATAATTATAAGCTTGTTGCACGATGTCCAATAATTTTTGCGACAATGCAGTGTCGGCCAATGGATACGCTTTAGGATTCACTCCAGATTCTGTCATGCTCTAGAAAATATTCATTCTTAACATTCAAAGATATTTTAAAATATGATTACCTATATAATTAAATTTCCAGTCAATGTGCAAGATATATGCATATTTTTGTGCGTCCGCAAAAAAGCACGATCTGAAACTCAGGAAATTTGCTTTGTTACGTTGAAATTCATTGATATCGCATTATATTTTGTGAGAAAGTAATTTCCGAAGTTCATTAAAAAACATCTCTTCATATTCCTCTTAGACGCAAACCGCTAGTTAACCTATTTTGCCAATTTTCTCACACCTGCATGCCGTCAACACCACAAGCTTGCTTGCGCTTCTTCAAAGCTCTAACAAACTTCACAATGTATTTTTTCTATAAAATTGTATAGAATGAAGGGATTACGTGAATATAACTGGAAGGAAGTGAAGAGGTCGCGGGTGGACAGAGTGAATAATGAATAACGGTGATCTGGCAACAAAACACTGAAGCAATATTAGAAGATGTCGAAAGAATACAACGGATTTTGACAGAAAGTTAGAAACCATAAAAAACTGAAGACAACTCGATTTGCACTGCTTTTTTTACTAAATATTGCGAGTAAAAATATTACAAATAATAGTAATAAAATAATAACCACGAATAAAATAAAATAATGGCAATTAAAAACAAATATTCTATTAAACAATAACGCAGAAAAGAGAAAACCTTTAATCGTGTGAAATCTTGTAAATCTTTGCATTCACAAATGAAAAGTGAATAAATAAAGAAATAAAATTAATTTGACAAAAAATTCTTCCAAAATATAAATTACTTTTCTTGAGAAAATCCTTAAGGAAAAACAAAAAAGACCAAAATTATCACGAAACAATTAAAAGGAGAAACCATGCAAAGCCTGTTAAAACCATAAAAGAACAAAGCAGTGAAGTTAGCAAGAATCAAAATATTGGCCAATTTCACTTAAAAGAACATAATAAGTAACAAATAAACAGCTGGCCAGAAAAATAAAGAGCGAAGCCTTGACCTCTGAACCTATGCGTCAAAAACAGACCAGCCACCCACACTTCTCTTGAACGAACAACCATCACACATAAATAAACAGATGAAGCCCACAAGCCATAACTCCTACCTACTTTTGTCGAGAAAATGCGGCCACAGCCCACCGCCAGACAAAGCTGTCGCACAGTAGTAGTCTGTCTTGATAAGGAGAGGAATAAGGCTATTCGCGATATTGTTTAATTGCATCCTCTACAAGTTTCTATAAATAAATGCAGAACTATGCTTTACTGCATAATTAAATTAAAAGGGGAAATTTAAGATATAAAATATATTAATATTTTAATAAAAATATATTTTTTGTTAAAATCAAATTTATGAAGGCGGAATGAATTTGCAAATTATTTGCCCGATATGAACACTATCGATGAAATATTCGAATTTTATATAAAATCAATCGATACATTTATTATTATTTAATTAATTATATAAATTTAAGAAGATTTCCAAAGCAAATTTTGTAGAAATAATTGTCGCTTCGTAAAAAGTGCATGAATTTCTCAGAAATGGGCCCGGCTGAGTTAACGTCTCCCGAAATTGAGAATCCCAAACCAATAAGAAAACCCATCCACGTCCCCTGAAATTATCAAATTTTATCAGAACTCTTCACGCCGTTGAATAGCACCATTTTCTAAGCGTGCATTCTGCAAACTCCTCCACATCTGAAACTTCAGCAATAAAAAACCAACTGACGGTCACTCAACTGTTCAATATTTATTTGATGAATTAAGCGTCAGTGAAGTTATGATGATTTAATTTGGACAGTAAACTTTAAAATTCAAATTTGAAATGGATCACTGAAATCTGATCACTGAAAATCACTGAAAAATAATTATGCTCTAAGACCTCATGGCTGGTTAGGCTCACTCCACTGCTTGCCAGGCCAGCCAAATTTTGATTGGAAGTGATTTGAGAATGAAAATATAGGTGAGTGGGAAGTATGTTGTGAAAATGTGGCAATGAAAGCTGACATTAATATTTGTTTGATCAAATTTATTGATCATGTTTTGGTTGTTTTTTCTAAATTTTTTCCAGTGTGGCTTTATGATATGATAAAATTTCTTTGCATTTCTTTATTTGCTTTATGTAAAACGAACTATTATTACTACGACGAAGATATTGCACGTCAAAGGTCAAATTTTTATTTCGTTTCGCTTATATTCAGCTTTTGTAATTGTGTAATGCCATTGGAAAATGTCCCAGAAAATGACAAATTTTAGGAGGTACCAAAGTATTTCATAATATAAGTGCTATTTAATGAGTATTTTTAAGTCACACAAAAATTTAAATTTTTAAATAGCTTTTTAGAATAGAGTGAACAGAGAAATTAAATAAAATTTGGAAAATCGAAACAAAAATTTGAACAGTGGCAAAATTAAAATAAAGTAAAATAAAATAAAATAAGGCATAAAGTAAGGAAATAAAAAGGATTTTTACCAGATATGCTAAAAAGCAACTTTAATTCGAGGAGATCAGTGAAATGGCGAGGGACAGCAATGGCGTGACTGTTAAGAATGTAAAGGATCGCCTCATAAGATTGAAGGAATTCTTTGTGGTCAAGCTTTACCATGAAGCGCCATCTCTTGTCCCAAACATAGCTGATACGTTCGTCGAACCATATGATTATAACTGCTGGCTGGCAACAGAAGAAGAAATAATCCCCGTTATCCATAAGCTTAAGGCCAATAAGACTCCGAGAGAAGATCGTCTGAAATATTGTCCATAGCCCTTCATAAGGCACCTTTAATAAATGTGCTCTTTGTTTGGAAAAAAGAAATATTACGAGATGTCTGGAGCACAGCAATTCTGCTTATCGAACTAGCCTACTAGAACCATGTCATCGAAAATTTTTCCTTCCCTTTCACTCAACAGACTTATGGAAGTAACGTACAGCAAGATGCGTCCTAATCAAGCTGGATTCAAACCAGGGTTGCTGACCCTATATTCACGTTAAGAAGGGTGTTGGAACATCGCTTCAGATATTTGTAACCCACTGTCACTTGTTTCATCGACTTTGCAGTTGCCTTTAATTCAATTGATACAGAGGCGCTTTGGAGGATGATGCAGTGAAAGGCGACGGTGCCAGAGAAGATCATTCGATTCATAAAGGCATTTTATAAGCGTACATCGGGGTCTATTATATGGGGAACTGACACACTCCTTCGAAAGAACTGGTGTCCGTCAAGGTTAAGTCCTTCCGCCTACAATATTCAACTATGCGATAGGCGTGTAATGGACATCGTTTGTCAGCACTCAAGGGATGTCCAAATCAGTCCAGAGTATCACAGATCTTGATGATATAGTCCTTTTTTGCTAACAGTTATGACGAAATACAAGTAATGCTAAATAAGGTGTCAGAAACTGCAGCGAGAATTGGACTCAGTGTCAATGTAAACAAAATGAATGTTTTTTCGAAAGTTTTTTTCGTCTTATGTGCAAGAAGCTGATAAAATGCCTTTTTTTTACAAATTGCCGGTCGAGGAAGTGCCCAATTTTAAATACTTTAGGTCCACTTTAATACCAAATGGCCAAGCAAAAGATGATATTATAGCCCGGATCACGGCAGCTAGAAATACGTTCTTCCGGTTGACGAAACCTTTATGGAGCCATCATGAAATCACCATAAAAACAAAGGTCCGCATCTATATTGCCGTGATTCGTTTGAACTTGCTATATGGCTCTAACACATGCTCAATGAGAGTGGAGAATATTAAGAAATAGTCTACCTTTGACCATTATTATCTAAGGTACATTTTACGGGTCCGTCGAGCAAATAAAATATCACATGATCGCATCCACTTTCGTTCAAATACCGCTTGCATTAATAATGTTACCATATAGCATCGCCTTCGCTGGTTAGGATACGTTCTTCGTCGCAAGAGTTCACACATATTTCATTTTTTGCTAAACCCTGTGACGGATAGCTTCAAAAGCAAGGTGGGCCAATCAAAACCTGGACTGATACGGTCAAAAAAAATTATGAACGTAAAGAGAACTAATGATATATGGACTAAAGCGATGGAAAAAAGAATGGTTTTTATTACTACTAGCAATGGCATCAGACCGAACAGCTTGGAGTCGTCTTACCCTTATAGCCAATGGAGCGAGCCTAACCAGTAATGGTAAGAGCTTTTAGAAAAAGAAAGTAAATCTTTCATTAAAAATAAAATTCGTGCGAAAATCTCAGCTTTTCATCACTTTTCATCATTTCCAGTATTGAAACGGTTTGGTATCTCCTACTGTTAAAATCAAAGGCAAAGCTGATGAAGCGTATAACGGTTGTCGATACTTATTTAAAATGCTATTCCATTAAAATTCTCAGCATGAAAATTCGATCAGTATAGCCCACGTTCCTTGTCTGAATCCAGCTTTGCTACCATTTAACATTTTAGAAACATCCAGCAAGCTAATTCCTTGATAAGTGAATCCTATCATCTTTCTTGGAAAACAGAATTGCATTGTTCCAGTCACATGCCATTTGCTCCTTTTCCTGTGTCAATAAATATAATCTATGCGAATGAAGGGCGCTTGGCAACATCTAAAAAGCGCAGCTTAACGGATCACTTCCTGTGGACATAAGCTTGCGAATTACAACAAGATTCTTTCATTCTTTGGTGGCAATTTGTGTATTAAAAAAATGCGTCCTGTCAGATGCTGTATAGATGTTAGATGCCCGTCGTAGTCAATTTTGGATTCAAAGGACCCTCTCCATCGAGTCTTTGATGTTTCTTAACAGGATTTCCATCGTTACCTCTAAAGACGACTCCAAGCTGTTCGGTCCGATGCCATTGTCCGATGCCTTACCTCAGAACATTTCAATAACCATTTCTCTAACCCTGGTTGTCTTACGAAGTAGGCGAAGTTTTCGATGATTTCCCACTCAAGCTGCTATCTCCAGCATCAAAGCCATATAGTTCTATATCGATTTTGTTCTATTTTGTCGTGACCATTGCAAGTCTATAGATCTAACTACTCAATAGCTAACATCGTCTAGCAGCCGCGCTCTGGCTGAGCGATCGTGCAGCTGGACGGGTTTGACTGAAACCGAGATCGCCTACTTCCTAGACGTATATCTCGTGGTGGATTCAGCTGGAGACAAGACTTCACACTTGGGTCAATATTTTTCGGTAGTTTTTAGAACTTTTAAATATTATCAAAGTCCTCTAAGTATTTCAGTATCTCAACTCTAAACGTGCCGACTTAATTTTTAACTTGAGATAGCCAGAAGATTTCGCTGCTTTGCGCATAGCGATTTTCCGTGGGATATTGGCTCTAGCTGTAATATGATCTCGACTCAAGGAAATTGCTAGATTCGGTTCCGCACTGCAGTTGAGCAATAGCCAATTTCATTACGGCGTTGATCGAGCTTCACAGAGCTAGATGTCTTCTGCAATAATGGCGGTGGCAAAAAGACCACGTTCTATAGCATAAAACTCTTTTCATCGATACATCGCCGCCATAGAAAATGCACATTATTACTCTTCCGCGACCACAATTATGTCGTTTTTCTGCAGAAATATTAGCAAGTTCGGCCCGTCAGGTAATCCACACAAAGCATAAATACTGATGACCCAGAAGTCATAAGTTTTGCCTTTAAAGCGGAAATAGACTAACCGATCATTAGCATAGTTCTGTGCGATTAGAGTACCTTTTCGGACATTCCATGTCTCCATTTCTAAGTTACGCGAAATATCGCCGTAATATAACCAGTATTTCGTACTCGAACCAGACATAGCCATTGCTCTGGATTCAGAAATAGGAAAACGAATATGCGATACCCATACGACATTTGCAAAAGGTGTTATCGCTTCGCTCCTAACATCCATAATTTAATTATCGAATTTTGAATCAATTTTTGTGCAGTTTTAATTAACTTAAGCCTTTATGTTTCGTTCTTTAAAATTCTTTTCGTATATTTCATAAATTGCTTTCAATTTAGTTTGTGAATTATTTGCTAATTTACGCATCAGAGTTCGAAGTTTTATTACACCAAATTGAAAATAAGAAAAGAACGTTTGGAAATTTAAATTTAAATAAAATTTATTGAAAGTTATCGAAAACAATTTCTAAAGAATTCTACAATCAAATTACTCCTTTTCAAAAGTGTAGCGTTTTACATACAAATTCTAAAGGAATTGATCTTCTTAATCTTTTTACCAATGGTAATATAATCAGTAGAGTCTCACACATTTCCGATCTAAGAATAATCATGGATAAAAATCTTGACTTTGACCTTCACTGCAGAACCATAGTAAAGAAATCCTCAAAAATACTAAATTTCATTTTTTGTTCGTTTAAAAATAGAACTTAAGATTTTCTTATCAAAATGTACAAAGTGTTCGTTCGGCCTCTTCTTTACTACAATACTGCCTGTTACTCCCCGACCGCAAATTAAGTAAAATAATTGAAGGATTCCAGAAAGAGGACTTTATACGTCGCCTCTCTCGTAATAACAATTTTAATTAAAAAACAATATGGCCTGGACAATTCTCTTACAATTCTTCGAATTAAACAAGATATAATTTGTATTATAAAATTCTATATAGTTATGTTAAATTAGGCTAAATTAAGTTTTAGGTTAAATTTGAACCTAATAAAATCTAATAGGCTAAAATGACTAAAAGCTATATGCAAAATTAAATTAAGGATTCATGATTTCTTTATTCATACTATTAATTACTGAAATAAACAATTACTGTAGTCTGTGCGCCATCCTCAGTTAATTTTTAAAAAAAGATTAGATAATATTATTTATATTATTTCATGCTGGAAGTTTGAAATCTTAATTTTACCATTCGATTACACATAAGTAATACGCTCACTTAGACTACTTTGTAAATTCTCTTTATTTCTTCTTTACTTTATTAATTTGTCATATTTTCTTTTTTATCATTAGTTTCCATTATTATTTCAACTGTTGTTATTAATAATTATTGTTATTAAGCACATGGTGCTTGCCGCTATGCTTGGTTCAGTTTTCAATAAATAAATAAATTTGGTTTAATGAAAAGTTTAATTGATAAATGTTTTTGTAATCTCTTAATGAAGATTAAACACTTGATTAATCTGGCCATTAATTCATGAAGAAAAAATTGTGTAATAAAACGTGCAGCAATATCACATGTATATATTGATAGGAAAGATATCTGACCTATTCATGTTCCATACAATATATCTCATAAATATTCTATGAATATCCCATACGAGAATCTACACATTAGCTTCAAAATTGGGGAAGAATCAAACCAGAATTCTGACATCTAGCAAACCAAGTTACTTACACTTGCAATTAGAGTGACGTTGTTAACAAAAAATTGGCATTGACATGTAAAGCTCTACATTTATACAATTAATTTGTCTGGTTATTTAATTAATTATTCAGATCAGATCAAGCTCTGCAACCTACCAAGTAAATGAATTTTTGGCTTTTTTATGTAAAAAGAATGTGCCAACACCGAGCAACACCGTTAATATACATTACAAATGCCAAACGGACCATAAAATGATTTACTCACCAAGTGGTTCACCATGCTGCATACCATATTTAAGTGAAGCAAAACCATATATCCTAATAACGTATATAATTCAGACGATTCACTGCACAATTCGTTTTAATAAAATTCCAGATACCATTCACCATTTTATGTTTTTTCATTTTCTTCTAAAGATAGCCCAACACTGATTATTACTTGATTATTTTCCATTTCTACAAACTTTTTTATCTTTATTATTTCGCGATTTGCTCTCCCTTACTTATGACAAATTTTTTATTTTCGATATTTTCATGAAAATTTTCCTCAGTATTCAAAACAATGAAAAACAATGGTTAGATTACAAATTTACTTCAACAAATCCTAATTTTCTTTACCCTTTGCAGAAATAAGTATGAGTAGCATGAATGAATAATGCATTCAACAATATTCCTTCCTGAATTTTAATGTTTTTCCTTCTACTTCAGATCTTAAATCTTACTACAATTCAATTTCAGACGAAAACTTTCGATACTTACGCGTATTCATTCACATATTTTTAATGATTTCATACATAAAACCTGAGAAAAAACAAAAATCAAAAATTTCAGATTCCAATTTTCTTCAGCGAAAGACTCTTCAAATTTAACATGGAGAGAAGTTTCTAACACCGTTAAGATTTGCAATTCTTGCTTTGCAAGAATGAATCTCCAAATAAATTGTAAACGATTGTATGCAAATCAAAAAATGGTAATGTATTGATAATATGTATCATGTTATATCATTTTTGAATTAATTATTTCAAGTGAATATAAAAGTATCAAAGAAAATATAAAAATATAAAAGTACAAACATTATCAGGCATCGAAAAACGAAAACTATTTTCAAACAGAACCATCAAAAAACGCTTTTCTTCGCATTTCTAAATGAATCTAATTCAAAAATTGTGATTGGACCACCAACCATTTCGAAGCGTTTTCGATCATCTTTCAATAATTGTTCAGCATCACCTAGAAAAATAAGGAATAAAATGAAATGTCTCACATAAAAATATTGCTTGAATCATCATTTCAATCAGTATAGTTTGGTTACCCCTCACCAACAGCATAAGTGTAAGACATCAAAAATCCGGAAGGTGCGAGAGAACCATCTTATACTTCAACATCATCTCCAAATAACTTTTCCGATTATATATATATGATATTTATATATGTATATATGATATGCTTCAGAGTTTTGATCCACTACCACTTTCATCGATTTTGCGGCTGTTTTTGATTCAGCTGAAATAGCTGCGCTTTGCAGTGTGATGGAATGGAACGACGATCCTCCAAAAAAAATCATTCGACTCATAAATGCATTTTACGAGAGTACATCTGTGTATATGGGGATAGAATTCTTCGAAATAAGAACTGGTGTTCCGTCAAGGTTAAGTCCTTTCTCCTACAATATTCAACTATGCGAAAGACGTGTAATGGACATCGCTTGTCAGCACTCAAGGGATGTCCAAATCAATCCAAAGTATCACAGATCTTGATGATATAGTCCTAACAGTTATGACGAAATACAAGTAATGCTAAATAACGTGTCAGAAACTGCAGCGAGAATCGGACTCAGCTCAATGTAAAATAAAACGAAAGACTTTTCGTCTTATGTGCAAAAAGCTCATTGCCGGTTCAGGAAGTGCCCGATTTTAAATACCTTGGGTCTACTCTAATATCAAATGCAAAAGACGATTTTACAACCCGGATCACGGTAGCTAGAAATGGGTTTGACTGAATGGAAGCCAGTAAATGACCGTATGGCCTACACGCGTTTCAAAGGAAAGTTCCGCAATACTTTGGTCATTATTGTCATTAGTATATCCAACTTTATGCAACTTTATGCACAGATAACCGCGATAAGGATAAGTTCTATGCAGAGCTTCAACTGTTAACAACATCTCTACCGAAAGGTGATATGGTCATAATCGGGGGAGACTGGAATACACGTAGCGTCATAATAGCTTTAAGATGAATTCGATAATTGGATAAATATGGTATCGAAGTCAAGTATGCCAATGGAGAACACTTTTTTCATTTTGCCGAAAAGCATGACTGTTTAATACTAATACCTTTCAGCATCGGAGAAGACACCTAATCAAGTGGAACTCTCCGGACAACCAACAACTCCGACTGATTATACCTTAATCAGTCACTGTTGGAAGAGTTTAGAACCAGATAGCCGAACCTATTGGAGCGCTGAAACTGGTAACGTTATGGATCAGAATACGTTATGGCTCGAGCCAAGATTAGCATAAAATTGACAAATCATAAGAAACGACGTATCCCAAGATCTTTTAATTATCTCAAATTAAAAGAACGATAAGCGCATTTCAGATACACACCAGTGTTACTGAAGCACCTCAGTGAAATCAACGTCAATGACATCTTTGGAAAATCGAATGAATACTGGTCCCAACTAATGACATGCTTAGAAAAATCAGCCATTTCCATACTAGGGTATACTAATGGAAAATGCGATAGAGTGCGATAGAGATAGCTGAGTGTCAGAAGCAACTGTCTATCTGAAAAAGCCAGGAGATCTTGACTATTTGATCATTCGAAGAATTACAACGACAGCAGCAAGACGGGAATCGCTATTGGAGTGATATGGCCCTGAAAATGGAAACGGCGGCTCAATTAGGTTATAAGAAACTGTTTCGCCTCGCACACAAAACAACTATAACAACTATAACTCTACAAGTGGTCAGTGAAATAATATTGAACGGGATATTAATGGGACCTGTTAAAGCGATCAAGGATCGCTTCATAAGATGGTAAGAATTTTTTGGGGCCAAACTTAACCACGATGCGTCACTGTTTTCCAGAATATAACTGATTCGCCCGTAGGGCCATACGTTTGCAATTGCTAACCACCTACAAAAGAGAAAATAATTTTTGAAATAATCCATAAGCAATTTAAGGCCAATAAAACTCCCACAGAAGATGGTCTTCGGGTCGAACTCAGTTTAAGGCCAATAAAACTCCCACAAAGATGGTCCTCGGGTCGAATTCTTTTCAAATATTGTCATCGTTCTTCATAACTCACCTTCAACAAATTCTCTGTATTCTCTAGTATGGGAAATAATACCAGAAGATTGGAGCAAAGCAATTCTGCTTCCAATTCCTAGGAAATGAATGAGTCTACTGGATATCACCGGAAAAACTTTCGCTTCCCCTCTGCTAAATAGATAAAAGAATGCGTCCTAGCCAAGCTGGATTCAGACCGAGACACGGTACCAGATATTTACGCTAAGAAGAGTGCTGGAACATCGCTTCAAATACCAGCAACCCAGTGTCACTTGCTTTATCGATTTTGCAACTGCCTTCGATTTACTTGATAGCGCTCTGGAAAATGATGAAATATGACAGTGTCCCAGAGAAGATCATTCACCTCAAAAAGATTTTATCAGCATATCCTGGTACAGGTGTATATGGGGAACTGACACACTCATTCGAAATAAGAATTGATGTCAGGGCTGCGTCCTTTCCTCTACAATATTCAACTATACGGTAGACTGGATAATGGGCATCGCTTGTCGGCACTCACGAGATCAGTCCAAAGTAGAGCAGACCCTGAATACGCTGATGACGCGATCCTTTTTGTTGACAGTTATAATGAAATGATGTTAAACAATGTATCAAATGCAGCGAGAGAGAATTGGACTTAAAATCAATGTTAATAAAACGAACGTATTTTCGTCATATATACAAAATGCTGATAAAATTTTTATAAATCCATTGCCAGTTGGGGAAGTGCTTGGCTTTAAATTCCCTGGATCCACTCGAATCCCAAACGGCCAGGCAAATGATGAAATTATAACCTGGACAACGACAGCTAGAAATGTATTTTTCAGGTCAAAACCTCTATGAAACCATCGCGAAACTATGAAGACGATAATCGTGTCTATACTGCAATTTTGTGAGCGGAAGATATTAAGAAACTATCAGCCTTTGACCATTCATGTCTAAGGCACATTTTGCGGATCCGTCGAGCGAATAAAATCGCACATGACTCTATTCATCTTTGCCACCTGATTGATGTTATGACGAAACGCCACATTCGCTGGTTAGGGCATGTTCTCGTCGCCCACCACATCACTTTTTTCGTTATTTGGGATAGAATGGCTCAATGAGTTGTTACTAAATTTAGAGTGTTCGATTCCCGCAGGAGTAAAGTCGTCCAAAAATGCGGGTAATGCTGCCGACTCACACCTGTACTTCTATCACCAAGGGGCTCCCTGGTCCACTTCAACCACTTTGACAAGCCGGTGGAGCGAGTTTAACCAGTAATAGTCAGCACCCTTTAAAAAAATATTTCGAACCTTGTTAAAAAAATAATTCGAACTTCTGCTATTTGCCGAATCTTGTGATGGCTGGTATCAAAAGCGATGAATGCCAAACAAGATCTGGACGGATGCAGTCAGAAAAGATTTTGAATGTATAGGGGAACCAGCAATATATGGACTTGAACGATGGAAAAAAGAAAATGGAAAAAGAAATGGCTTCTATTACTACGTCAGACATGGAGACGTCTTACTCTTGTAGCCAGCGGAGCCAACCTAACCAATAAAAGCTGTTAGAAAAAGATAAAAGCCTAATTAGAAATGATAAATGCTGCATTTAAAAAAAATGGATGCATATATACATATATATATATATATATATATGCATGAACATTTTTACAATGGAGGCCAAAAATGTCAGAAACTACAAGAAAATTATAATTAAAATTAAAATATAATTATAATTAAAATTACATAAATTTTTGAAGTTTTAAAAAATCTGAAAAACGGATAAAACGAGTATCTTAGCTAAGAAAAAATTTTCATAATGAAAAACTAATAAATTTGCGAACAGCGAATATTTTTTTCCAGATTACCAAAACACATATCATATCGATAGCCAATGGCCATCACAATTGGTGGTATACCGACTGAGATCAATCTGTTTTTATGCACTGAAGCGAAGTATGTTAAAGATAAAACCACGGTTGCCGCTGCTACTGCCTCCCAAGAAAAACTTTCTCGCAAAGCCGCCAACTAAACTTCGAAAAATTATTCCATAAATATAGGTAAATATATTTTCCTTCCTATATCGTCGATCAAACAGTGGAAATATACCATACTACCCAAAAAAGAATTTCTCAAAATTTTCTCAAAATTCAAGAAATTCAAAATTTCGTTTAACTCTAAAATACTTAATATTCTTGTTATATCGACACGTATAATAAAACATTACCTTGAATGCCCGTTTTTTTTCGAACCAAAGATTCCTAAGGGCGATTTCGTTTTGCATCTGAAATGTGAAATTTAAAAATGCATTTTAAAAGACATAATATTCAAATATCTGATGAATCGTATATCTTAAAGAAGCATTAAGATGCAAAAACTACGAACCTGCCTTCGATAAAATTCTTTAATTTCAGCTTCTTCTCCTTTTTCTATTGACGCTTGGTTACCCATTGAAAAATTCTAAAGATGAAATCTACGCAAAAAAAATCACAAGCTTAAGAACTTTTTTATATTTATAGGAAGTAGAGTTGCAAAAGATTGTCCTTAATAATTTCAAAAAAGAAATTTATTAAATGCGAAAAACATAAATAAGTAATTATTTATTGACTGTTTTTAGCCGCAAAAAATAGCAAAACCATTCAAAAATTTAATTATAAGCATTTAAATATTAATTCATTAAAAAAATTAAAATAAAAATCGAAAATTATAAAATAAAAAAATTATTAATAGCAAGTAATGAATAAAGCACCAAAAAATAAAAAGCCGCTTACAAAATCTCTAATTAACATAAAATATTCTCAGATTCAATATTTAATGCAAAATTCAATTTGGATTAAGATATCAAAACTTTTTACATACCTTTATTTTTATACCTTATATACTTTTTACAAATACGAGAAAAATACGGAAATCCAAAAATCAGAATAACAAATCCGAAATATATATGCGAAGTTAGTATGGTTCCGATTTTTTTTCCTGCTCCGCCAAAATATACTATTTATAAATATACTACAAAATTTACTATAATTCTTTCTGATTCTCGTATACTTCCCTTTCTATTTTTGAAGCATTACTTTATTCCAATCCATCAATAGTATCTTTTCAAATTTTTTTCGAATTTTCCAAACCTCACTTTACCTTCTTAAAATTTTCCTAAGAATATCTTGCTAAAATTTCTAATGCTCGATCAAACCTTGCTGCATTATTTGCGATATTTCATCTATAACATTGCCTCATCGTTACGCTACTTTCATCACTTTCTAGCCCTTGACATTCTGAAACCTACAATTCTCCGCATCTCCAAAATCCAATTAAATTACCATATTACTCCATCATATTGCACTATATCCTTCTTTTTAAAAAAAAAGATGACAGGACTGCCCTAAAACTCCTTATTTCAAGATCTCCTTTATATTATTCTAATATTCCCACTGCACTTTTTCTCAATGTTTCGCTTTTTGTTAAACCCACTAATTTTTCTCAAAAATCCATACTATCTTAAAATTTTAAATATCAAATATAAATCAAAACCACACGTTTTCCGACTCAAATATCTCCTTAATCCCAAAGATCTTGCATTCAATTTTCTTAATCCTTTAATAAAATTATTTTAAATCCATTTCTTTCGTTTCAACCTTTATAACTTAAGGTCAAGCTCATTTTTTTCCTAATGTCCTAAGCATCACACGTTATAAGACTGTAAAATTGCAGATTTGACGATGAATGACTAGGGTGATGGAGAAATATAGCAGCATAACGGGAATCGGAGAATTACAAAGGTTAGCGAGGATGTTAGGGAGGTTAATGGGCTTTGAGGCAATATCAAGGGATATTTCAAGATTCAAAAACCGTTCTACTTATCTTTTCACTAAGCTGAAATGATCCTTCAATGGAAATAGAATTGACTGACTAATCCTGTTCAAAAATTTCAGCGACAAGATTTTGCACCTCTTTTGCAGTTGTAATGGGGAAAATTTGAGCTGAGCCACCTTTTTCGAAGATTTTCACAGCATTTTCTGGAAATCGTTGTTGATCACCGTTGATAAAAGCAAACCATTGGAATGAGAAAAATATAACAAAAAGTTTAAAAATAAAATAAAGCAAATTGTGAAACAAAATATTAATAAATGTTGAATAAATATTATCCATTCATTTTTTTCATTGATAAAAAACCAAACGAACTTCTAATTATTTCCAGCTTATTGCCATAGCAAAGATGCGCTTCATATGCAATATAAAAGAAAATTGGATAAACTGGTAATATATGAAGCACATTTTTATGATAATGAGCAGAGTACAATGCTGTTAATATAGTCACAAAACCACCAGATGAAATCCATCTAAACATTTCGCGATTTTTTGCCAACTGAAAATAACCTATAACTGCATTCGCCACGACATTATGTTAATGGGTATATCCGATACATGCAGAGAAATCTACGAAAACCATCTTCAAGAATTGAAAATTTTCAATACCCAGCTGTATTCTATAAAAGTCACTCTAAAAACCCATCATATCTCTTATCTCGAAAGCTCCATTGTTGCCACCAATACATTGGCGCTATACTACATTTTTATAAATTATTGGCGCAACAGTTCCCTTGTTAAGCTTCTTTACATTACTATGACCCAGAGCAAATCGCTTAACACCAAACAACGCCCTAGGCTTCGCTATACTTCGCTCCCCTTAACGCCGCTTAGGTTCCCTCTTTAAATGCTGGGCTCTATATCATCCTTTTGGCTCGTTAACACCTCACTGAAACTCATCTAAATATTCTTTTTATTATTTCAGTGGTAAATAATATGGAAGAAAAAGGAAATGCCAACTTCGTAAGCTCTTTTTCGTTCTGCAAGTGCTTCTCGATAGGCAATTTCCCGCTGAATCTAAAAAAGGAACAATTCTACGAAAATGGAAAACAAGAATTCGATTTAATTTGGATCAAAAAATTCAATAAAAAAGATAAAAATTTGCTAAAAATTCAGATTTTCGAGATAAAATTCACAGATAAATTATTAATGAAACTTTTCAAACATATAAAACATTAAAACGAAGGCAAACAAATAAATAAACAAATAAAAAACGAAAGAGACGAAATGCAATGTAAAATGTGAAACATTTCGCCCACAAATGACGAAATAATAAATAAAACCAATTAGATTGGAAAAAAATATTTCGAAGAAAACAAAAAATGCAAAGCAAAACTTCATTTTGCCGACTTTTAATTGTTACTACTTAATAATTTTTACTTATCGCAATTTCGATTATTTTTAATAATTTGTAACACCGATGAAAAAAACTGCGAAATATTTCCTACCCTCTCGCTTTCCATTTTATTCAAAATTTCGCGAACTTCCCCTCCATTTGATGCAACTGACTGGCCACCACCCATAGCAGTTTTTATTAACAAATTGCTTCATAGAACTCAAATTCACCTAATTGCGAAATAAGAGATATTTTTGAAAAACAAGTGGGTTTCGTTTCAAGAGACAATTTTCAAAAGTGAAAAATTTAGGAGCTTGATTTTGTTTCTTTGTTGGCATTCATTAGTTGAATAGATCAGAAACAAATCTATAGATGAGTGAAAAAAGTGTTCGAACGTTCCTATAAAGCTTTGTTTCCAGATGGCTCTAATAGCAGCCAATGGAGTCAGTCAAACCTAAAGTGATGAGAATAGGACAAGAGTGAGGTTATTGAGGCAGATTCATTTTCGTACCCATTTGGATTTCATTTCCAACGATAAGTTTATTTCTGTCAAAGGCGAATAACTGAACGCATACTTACTTCTACTGAAGTCGAAACAACATGGATTGGTCACCATTCTCCAAAGCAATTCTGCTCCCAATTCTCAAGAAAGGTGATAGGTCATACTGCGACAATTATCGAGGAATCAGTCTACTAGACGTCTCAGCGAAAATTTTTGCTTCTCTCTCAACAGACTTACGAAAGTACGAGACAGCAGAATGCGCTCTAATCAAGCTGGATTCGGACCGGGGCGCGGTTTTGGTAACCAGATATTCATGTTAAGAAGGGTACTGGAACATCGCTTCAGATATTTACAACCCACTGTCACGTATTTCATCGACTTTGCGGCTGCCTTTGATTCAATTGATAGAGCGGCGCTTTAGAGAATGATAGAACGTGACGGTTGCAGAGAAAATTATTAGACTCATAAAGGCATTTTAAACGCACGTCGGCACAGCTATTTGTATATGGGGAGCTGATAGATTCCTTCGAAATAAGAACATGTCCATCAGGGTTCTTCCTTTTCCCCACAATATTCAACTATGCGATAGAGTGTAATGGACACCGCTTGTCGGCAATCAAGGGGTGTCCAAATCAATCCAGAGCATCGTATCATAGATGTTGAATACGCTGATGATGTAGTCCTTTTTGCTGACAGTTATGGTAAAGGCAAATAATGCTAAATAACGCGTCAGAAACTGCAACAAGAATTGGACTCAGGATCAATGTAAATAAAACGAAAGTCTTTTCGCCTTATGTGCAAGAAGCTGATAAAATGCCTCTTTTCGGAAATTCATTGCTGGTTGAGGAAGTGCCCGATTTCAAATACCTTGGGTCCACTCTAATACCAAATGGGCAGGCAAAAGATGATATTACAACTCGGATCACGGCAGCTAGAAATGCATTCTTCCGAAATATGGAATCGTCGTGAAATCACCATAAAAACATCCACATCCGCATCTATATTGCCCTGATCCGTTCAATCTTACTATACGATTCTGAGACATGGTCAATGAGAATGGACAATGAGATTGTCTTTGACCACTTTTGTCTAAGATACATATTACGGATCCGTCGAGCGGATAAAATATTACAATATCGCATCCATTTTTGTTCAAATACCACTTGCATAAATAATGTTGTGCGCTGCCTTCGCAGGTTAGACTAACATTTTTTTCCCTCGTCCACCACAGGAGTTGACGCATATTTGCTAAACCGTGTGATAATTGGCGTCAAAAACGAGGTGGACCAATCAAGAACTGGACTGATACGGTGAGAAAAGATTTTGAACGTATAGGTGGACCAGCAATATATGGACTTAGACGATGGAAAAAGGAATGGCTTCCATTGCTGTCGACGATAGCATCAGACCGCACAGCTTGGAAGCGTCTTACCCTTGTAGCCGTTGGAGCCAGCCTAACCAGTAATGGTGCGAGCTATTAGAAGAAGAAGAAGTTCACCATTGTCCGCTTCTCTTAACACCTCTCACCATCACTGATTAGGCTTACTACAAGGGTAAGGAGTCTCCAAGCTATTCGGTATCACTGGCAGTAATATAAGCCATTCCTTTTGCATTCCAGTAATATAAGCCATTCCGTCTAAGTCCATATATCGCTGGACCATTTTTACATTCAAAATCTTTCCTGTTTCTGTTCACGTTTTAACTGGTCTACCTCGCTTTTGATGCCATCCCTCACAAAGTTTAGCAAATAACGAAATACACGTCAACTCCTGCGGTGGACGACGAAGAACCAGCGAATGGCGTTCGGCGATGGTGCTGTTAATGTAAGTGGTATTTGAGCAAGAGTGGATGAAATAATGTTTGATTTTGTCCGCTTGGTGGACCAGTAAGCCATGTCTTAGACATGAGCGGTCAAGGATAGATAGTTTCTTAATAACCTCTACTTTCAATGGCCAAGTATCGCAGCCATATAGCAAGATCGAGTAAACTGCGACCACGGCTGCATAGACGTGTGCATCCATTTTTATAGTGATTTTACGAAAAGTCCATAAAGGTTTTATCAACCGGAAGAAAGTATTTCTAGCTGCCATTATCTAAAGTTCTAATTTCGTCTTTCGCTTAGCCATTTGTTATTAGTTATTAGTTTGGATCTGAGATAATTAAAGTCTGGCATTTCTTCAACCGGCAAAGAATTGATAAAAAAAGATATTTTATCAGCTTCTTATAAATAGACGAAAAGACTTTCGTATTTACATTGACCCTGATCCTAGTTCTTGTTGCAGTTATATTGTTTAGCATTTCATAACTGTTAACAAAAAGGACTACATCATCAGCGTATTCAAGGTGTGTGATGTTATGCTTTGGAGTGATTTGCACAATTCTTAAGTGCCGACAAGCGACATTTCCACTTCATAATCTTTAAATAAATTTGCGTACGTTTTTCTAATATAAAAGTGTAATGCCAAATTTGTGGGGTATTTTAAAGATTTTCTTTGTTTTTGTTAACAAAAAAATCAGAAATTTTTTTGCTTTTTTTAAAAAAGCTATAGATTTTTTAGATTTTTTAAAAAAAATATTCCATAGCTGATTTTCTCTCCTACAGTATTTACTTTAAAGTAAATGGTTAGTACTCATCATTATTAATGCAGTGAGAAATTTTGCACTTGACGATAAAAATACTGATGGTTCGGCAGCACCTTGACAATAGAACTATTGATGGGCCTGCAGCATCTTGGCAATAAAAATATTGATGGGTCTGTAGTGCCATGAGTCCACTGGACTATAATTTCATCGAATAAAATCGCATATGAAATTACTGTGTTCCATGAAATTGTCAAAAATATTAAATAAGGCAAAACCTAGGAAAAACAATAAGTGAAATAATGAGATAATTTTTTATTTTTTATTGTAATTAATATGAAAGCAGAAAAAAAATTTCTTCTACTTCTAAAAAATTTAATAAAAAGTCAATTAAATAAAAATTTCGCTGAAAAAAAATCCTTAAAGTGTCGGATAAAAACCTCAAAAAGAGTTTTGGTACTGCAACAGATATTTTAATCCCTTTTTTCCTACATATTTGATAAATATCATAATTTGATAGTTGATGGAAACTTCTAAATTCGGCTTTTAATATATTTCTGAGAGCAAATCATAATGTTGTTTTTTCAACAAATTATGATATTTTTAACGAATTGCGGTCTATAAATACATTTATTTTTATGGCATTGGCCACAACAATAATTCTTTTCGAAGAATTGTATATTTACATATTTTCAATAAGAGATATTCCAACTGCTTATTTTATAATTCAAAATTACAATGATGTTGGAGATCGCATAGTGCAAGGGACCGGCCGGCAGACGTGTAATTTTATCGCCAGGTTCCAAGTTGGGCATTGCAATAGTCAGTGAAGCTAGCCAAATCGAATGCTGTTAGAAGAAATTAAATCGTTGTCAAGTACATTGATGATTTGTTTAGAAAGGCTTAAATTGTAAGAAAGATATTTTAAAAAATGTGCATACTTTTTTACGAAATTTCTTCTTTAAGCGCCAGAACTGCAAAGTCGGTTTTCAATTTTTCAATTGCATTTTAATTTTAACGATAATTTTAAAAGAATTCTGTTAATAATAAAACGTGACAGAATATTTTCAAAAAATCAAAAAAAATATTATGGATGAGTCGATTAATTTTAAAACCAAATGCTGACGACATATAAAATTGAACTAAATTCGAAAATTCAACGAGGCATTATTTTCGTTCAACAAATCGTGTCTTTTATCCATTATCTCCATTATTATTAACTTTTTAGCCTAAAATAGTTTTTCGCTACAGTTTTTTGATTTAAGGAAGAATGAAACCATTAAATAAATATTATTAGAATTTGCTTTTCAACGGTGAGCATTTGGCAATTTTTGAAATTAATAAATTAATTTCTGCGAATTTTTAAAGCGATGAATCGAATCTCGTGTCGTGTCGTGTTGCTTATTGCATCGCAACTTATTTAATTTACTCTTTTCAAAGAAAAGCGAATGAAATGCGAATATTGAATGCATTATTCAACATTATTTAATTTTTTTCAATGTATTTATTAATTTAATTAATGAAAAAAATCTGTTGGATTTTTTTATTTCACATCCCTTCGCAATCCTTTTTATTTTCAATTCCAGTCGATTAATTTCAAAAAATTAAAATAGTATTTAAGGATTCAATTCTGTGACAAAGAATAATATTTCCAAAATCATTTTTATTTCACAAAAAATCTTTAACGATCAAAAATTTACATTTTGGTTGCTAATTAGCAATGATTATTTGATTAAATTTCCGTCTTACATGTCTATAATTTATTTATTTCGTCAATTTAGGTTATAATTTTCCAAATTTGACCTTAAAGCGGGGTTAAGTACCAAATCATTCCAATAGAGATAAGCCAGTCTTTAAAGAATCTCGGATGTACAAGCGATGCTTCCATAATTTCACCTCCAAATGAATTCTTTGGCATAAATTATTGTTCAATTAGTAGCCAGTGAAGCGAGTCTAACCTGAAATGTGTGCAATAACCACTGCTTTTGTTCAGTCACCAGAACTTTTTTCGAATATGGTAAGTTAGCAATTTTTAGGTTTCCTTTGTTCAAGTAAATAATTCCTTAGGTTTTATTTTTTATTTTAACAATAATTATGAGATATTGATT